GCTGAAGTCGGAGGCTTAACCGACTGAGCCACCCAGGCGCCCCATATGAAAGTTTTAAGACTCATGCTGTCATTATTTGAATGAGGTTACTAAGCTCAAAAACAGGGCGATGCATCATGTAAAAGGGAACTATACGTGTTAATGACGGAGGCAAGGATAAAAGCAAAAACTGTTTTATTCTACCACATTTCCCGGTTTCTTTGGTGCTTAGGAAGCCCCACAGCTTATATCTGAACTTTGTGTTAAATAAAACTGAATATGTAAGTATGAATACATGAATATGTAAATACGAATGCATGAATGTCTAAAACGTAATCACAATTTTTCTTTAAGCGGTATTGATCAAGTGGTCTAACGTCTTACTGTCTTTCCACCGATTTATAACTTTCATATTTTGAGCATAAACATTCTCAACACGAAGTCGGATAGTTCCAAGGCAGAGACCCTGTCAGGAGTCCCGGTTGCCAGGTTCTAAGTGCCAAATGCTTCTGGTGAGAAGTTGGTGGAGACTGAGGGAGTAAAAATGAAGGATTCGATAAGAGGGAATATCTGAGGCAGAGGCCAGAGCTAAACCCAGAAGAAAAGCTGTTGCTTGGGAAATCATGGCCGAAATATTAACTCAAACAAAGGGGAAGAGAGGGTGCTATAAAACTCAGGGAAGCTTCCACATCAGTGCCTGAAAGAGATGACTAAGTATTTGCGCTGCTTCGAGGCTGGGGATGCACTTGAGTCATCTTTACTAAGCAGTTTAAATCACGGCACCCTGACTTCTTTGGCAATTGTGATCTTCTTAGAGTGGTGTTTGCAAGTTAACACTAGACGCCAGGTTTCCTTACTTACCTCTTTCCTTACATTACAGGGGTGGATTGTGTGGGTCCATAGTTCTTCCTCTCTCCCCTGCTGTGCCATCACTCACCTGTGGGTGGAATATATTTCCTTACCCCACTGACTTCAGGCTTGGCCAAGGGACACCTGCTTCAGCTTCGCTAATGAAATATTGGGCAGAGATAATCATTGGCAAGAATCCGCCAATACTCTTGGAACAGCTGTCCTTTGCCGTAACAGGAACGTATCTCAGAGAACTATTTCTTCTTCAGTCTGGATTTTGAAAGGAAGACTCAAATCGATCTGAAGCCTGTGATCCAGCAGAGCTCAGGGAAGACGAAGCAAGACTCGCTGAGATCAGCCAAATTGCGGATCACCCACCGACAGGTGGTTGTGGAAAAAATGATTGTTTAAACCACGGAAATTTGGTAGATGTTTGTTATACAGCATGCTTACAGCAAAAGCCCAATTCATCCACTGATAAAATATAGCTAACCAAAATAATGAATTTGTGGAAGAGAAGATAAAATAATTAATTGAAAATGCTTCTAGACATTGAAAAGTCATATCCAGTATAATTGACAAAAACAATAGAATCACTATTTTAAATAGACTGCTAGATCTCTTTAGGATGACTCCAATAGTTTATCTATTGTGATATCTAAAAGCAACTCAGTTTCAATAGGACAACTCTGGCCTCTGAGTCGTTGTACATCTTTCTTCATGCCAGAAAGGAATCCTGGGTTAAGATTCTATTTTAGGGAAGGAAAATGGCAAACTTGCATCAGGACCTTCGTATCTATGCATTATGAGTGTTTGAACTGGAGTTTCCCAGTGAGCTATTCGGTGGAACACAGTATTACCAGTTTGACTGAACCGTGTATCCTATGTACCCAGTAATGTATGGAAGTGATGATTCCTCCAATGTGGAAAGCGTATGGTATTTCTTCTGTATTGTAACAGAATGGTCTTACATCATCTTGCACCCTACTTTTCTTTCTTAAACTGTGTCCATTGCAAATAAGTAAAGAATCACAGCAATATTCTCATCTCTGAACATGTGTGTCTGTGCTACAAACACAAGCTATGTCTGCTGTATTTGTTTGTCTATAAATTAGCATATTTATTTACGTGTATAGATCCTTCCTTCCTTCCTTCCTTCCTTCCTTCCTTCCTTCCTTTTTATATTTTCCAGCCTAAATTTAAACACTGTGAAGCTAGAGACTGTTGCTTTCTTTAAGGTGACCCATAGGACGTACTAGAAAGTTCTGTGGAAAGTGAGGACTCAGGAGTTGTTGCTAATCTGCCTCTGTTCTCCACTTCACTTGGTGACAACCGACCTGGCCAAAATCCCTTTGTCAGAATGAATCTCACCTCTGGTCCAGCTGATAATCATCCTTTTGGAAGAAGTGAACATTGCTAGTTAAAACAAGTAGTTATGCATCACACATTGAAGGAAAGCTCTCGCTAGTACAGGAATTAAAAAAAAATCATGATCCAAATTAAAGATTATTTCATTTTAATGTTTTGAAAATTCAAAAAATCCAGTTTCTGAAACATTTTCAGTGATTGGTTTAACATACTATCATTCACACATCAGTAATTCATGGTTTTATTTATTTATTTTTAAAGCAGCAAAACTAACCAAACCTGGAAAATTTTATTAACTTTAAAAAGAAGCCATTTAAATTAAGCATATTTTCAAAGATAGTTTGGGACATCAATATTTTTTAATGTTACTCCATTAAAGTTACTCCAGCTGTAACTTTGAAATACTGGTTTGAGGCTTTTCAGAGTTGTAAACTATGGGGTTTATAAGGCAGTTATTAGTTAAAGAGGTGGGAGGAAGTTGGCACTAATTTTTTTTTTAAATAGTTTTTATGATATATTTTGGAATCTCTTGAAGAAAAAAATAACCTTCAGTTCAAGTATGTCATTTTCTAGATGTTAACTATAGTTTTTTTGACTATCAGATTACAGACCATGCATTTGAAAAGTTTAAAGGATGTTAATGTATCTTTCTCCAAAAGAAGAAAGCTTCTGTAAATCATGGAGAAATGTTTAGATTTTTGTAGTAATTGGGATTCTGCTTAAATGCCATTTTTATTTTCTGTATCAGATTTCTATAATATTTACCTATTACCTATAGATCCCTCACAAGACAATGGTCACACAATTACCATTTATAATTTTGTAGTTATTATAAATTTTTTTCATTATTTCCCTATCTTTAATGAGGGAAATACAATCATATTACACTACTGCAGTCAGATTTTTTTTTATATTAAGGTGAAGCAATGAATAATGTAACAAAATGCTTACTAGAAATTACCAAGTAAATAATGATGGCTTTTTTCTTCTGTAAACTACATTGGAAGTGATGACCACCCTGTAAAATCTCAGTGAACTAAGTATTTGGTAGTTCAGTCTCTTACTCCAATGGATATTGAAAATTTCCAAGAGAAACTTAACAATTACACAGATTCAATGAGAAAAACACACAATAGTTTTAAAAAAATCACCCCACAGAGGACAGAGGAGCCAGCATCCTCATTAAAAAGATGGAAAAAAAAATGGCCAGATATGAAAGTTCTCACAGGCATTTCCAATCCTACCTGGTTCCCACATGTGATAGATGCTGAGTCCAAGGTCAATGGGTCTGTCATGGCACCGCCACAAGGTAGTGGTGACATGAGCCTGCCTTGAAAGCTGTAAGGGCTGGGGGAGCTGGTTGAGGGCGTGGGGTATCTAGTTCTGCACAAAGTAAAAGCTGAGCCCACAGAGAGAGGTAACTGACCACAGCTGAGCTAGGCACTGACAGCTCTCCAGTTAGCTGCTGATTCAGCCACAGATGGTAATTAGAACACCCAGAGATAAAACCAGGTGTTAGGTGCACCCCAAGAAAGATGGGGCTGGCCACTGTAGAGCAAAGATTGGCATGGACCTTGGGGATACTGTATATATCTAAGAATGCATTCCCCATGCTTCCCCCAGGCCCCCAAGTGTCTTTGCACTCACACATCAAACACGATCTTAGAGAGGAACGTGAAGGAGAGCTGGAGAACAGAACCGATAGGCTGAATTTTACCTACTATCTTGTGTGGGAGTGTGTGAAGAAGACTAGACCAGTTATAAAGTTAAGTTGGAGTGAGTTTGTGACAACACTATAGACAGAAAAAAATGTATATATACCAAATATTTGTGTTTCTGGCCATGTATTCAGCTCCATTATTTCTCAGACTTTTCTCTGTCATTCTTTTTATTTGAGATGACATTGCAATCCAACATTATTAACTTTTTACCCTCAAATTGGTGGCCTGTATCTGTGGCTGAAAACCAACAAGAGCATATTCCCTACATTTTAAAGAGAACTACTAACATTGCAACCAGAAATCTGCAGAATTGGTTCCATGAAAGTGAGAACCCCTGGCCTTCCAAGACTGTGAGGTAATGCCTGAGGAAGGGAGGAAAAAGACATTAGCATTCTAGGAAGTGTAGTGTTAGTGATGAGCACTGAGCCCCTCTGTTCCCAGCTAAGGAAGAAGCACACCAGTCCCAATTCTCATGTTTGCTGATAGCGGAGAGAGTTAATGAGGAAGGTATAAAAGATAGAGGGCTTCCCTGCAAAGATGGAAAACAAGGGAAGGTTGGCATTCTGATCTGCATTTGGATGCCTGCTTAGGCAGCACATCTCTCTCTCTACCTGATGCCCACCTGGGCAAGGGAAAAGGTGATCTGGGAGAGAAAGGGTAGGCCAGAGAGAGGGAAAGGAAATGGAGCAGGCTGAGCCCACCATTTTGATACGTGTGTTTTTCATGGGTCCAGTGGAAATTTCCGGAAGGGGTTGAGCTGAGCTCTTTCTAATATGTTTATTCCATAGTAGGAGTGGGTTCAGGGTGGACTATTAGGGGCTGGAACTGGAGGAGGAACTGGAGACCAGAGACTGAACTCAGACCAGTTTCTCATTTCAGGAAACTGTGGACAAGGGGGCTCTGGAGAACCTTCCAGAGACCTCACACATGTGCTCAAGCAGTGAGCCAACACTGGGCTGTCTGCCTCACAGAATAACGAATCAGCATCAGCTAGAGAAGCAACAACAATCTTCCATGGAAGGAACTGCAGCTGATCCCTGTTAACGTGACATCTGCCCTGTTCCCCCAATCCATTCTACTGGTCACGATGATCCAGGACTTCAAGTTTACAAGGGCATGGGATAGTAAAATCTTTGGTCATTTCTCTTTCCTTAGACCATTTCTCCAGCATAGCCAGAGATGGCAATTGGGAAAGCATTGAATTAGATGTAAGACTGGAATTTCCACTTGAATGGCTTAAATTCTGATGAAGAAAAAGACTCAAAAAGTTACAAGATCTGCCTGAGATGCCATCCAACATTGGGAAAGGAGATTCAAAAGGACATGATCAAAACTAGTGACTAGAAAAAAATAAAGCTATTTTATGTTTATAGGCTAAATAAACTGCTTTTACAATGAATGAGCAATTACGAATTTGGACCGAATTAACGGAGACTATTTTATAAGAGAAGCAGAAAGAGAACGAACATTTATTGAGCACACATTAACAGGTAGGTAGTTTGCAAAGAGTCCGTATCTATTAACGTTGCTAATTCTTACAATGAATTACTGGACCGTTTCCTCCTTTACATAGTGAAACCAAAGCTGAGAGATGTTAAGTAACTCACCCAGGGACATACAGCTAATGAATGGCGGATCTAGGATTAAATTTAGGTAAATATGATGTTAATGCCGGTATTTATTCTGCTGTTCTCCCCTGCCACCAACAGAGGTGGACTGTTAGGCATACTCCATATTAAAAGTTCCTTAGCGTCTCCTTTCTTGTTCATGTCTAATCTAGTATATAAGTCATTCTTTGAGGTATGGTAGACTTTAACTGGCTTTGTCAAATGTGTATGATGCTTCTTTGTCAACTCGAATACGAATTCTCTATTAAAAATGTGTAGAGTCTTGCTTTTATTGTGAGTTTCCTTTGTTTGGGTGGTGTACTTCGGTGCCATGGAGATGATATTCACAGACAGATGTTAACACGTCATTATAAACACTGCCTGTTCTTGCTCTCTGCCGAAAATGAAGAGCTCTGTTAGCATTTCATGGCACATCGCCATCTGGATTTGACTCAACCCTTCTCTCTTGACACATTTTCACTTTGAATGATGAGGGTTTTTGGTTGTTGTTTGCTCCCCTTCAGATTTCTGAGGTCATGTTGCAATTTCCATTTTGAACAGTGAATGGTGGGGAAGGAACAGGCAAGATGAAGGGTTGGGCAGAGAAGAGGGCCCTTTAAAAATTTTTCGATGCTGGAGATTTTACTAGAACAACTCTGGAGGCAAGCATTGACTGAGTGATTCACTCAGATTTTCCCATCTTAAGAATTCCAAGATCCTAAAATCACCGATGAATTTTTCTGATACTCATCTGTTCCTTTGGCTTCCCTTCATTAGATAATTTCCTAATTTGTCCCTGTGCTCCGTATTTGATTAAATCTGACTAGCACATTCATGTTTGGCCCAAGTCTACTTAAAATTGTTAGTTTCATCATTAGAGCTAGGACTGAATGATACCAAGTGCCTCTTTTTAATTTTTATTGTTTATTATTTATTTTTTTGTAGTATTTATATTTATTCATTGCTGTTAACATTAATATTTAATATTTTAGTATCTGCCTCCTTGGAACCATTCAGAGACGTTGTAGGTATTACATTGTAGGCATTCACTAATTTCATACCTTAAGACCTCATATGCTCTTAGTCTTCATATCGATATCCATTTGGAGCTTATTTTTTCCAATCGTATCTCTGTAGTGATTTAAATAACCTGGTATTCATTCCAGCTAATAAACAGTCAGTCTCATGGCAATGGGCAAAGCGTTAGTCTCTCATCAACACACAGAGGGCTATCTCTGAGTTGATAGAGGAAAAATTAATAAAATAAAAGAAAATACTGTACAGACTACTAATAATATATCATAAATTGAGAGGTTTAATTAATGCAAATGTCTCCACAAGAGACAAGAAAAAGAAAAAAAGTAAATAAAATCTCTGATTACATCTAGAAGTTTTAAGGTAGAACTTTGAAGATGTATTTCCAGTGTTGTGTATGTCCTATATTTTGAGTTCTGCTTTCACAATTGTACTCATGGTTGGCTAATGTAAGGATTGGATGAGTGGGCTCATTGAGGCAGATGGCCAACATAATCCCATCCATCCTTGTTAAGTTTTTGAGACTCTACTTATGACAAGCATCTGCACTTTTTTGTTTTCTACTTTATTTTTATACAGGAAAAGAGGAGATCTCACAAACCAACCCTGCTTTATTGACAAAGTTGGAGATGTTCTGAAATTATGCTGTTGGTCAGAGGACCATCCAAAATGGGATAGCTGAAAACATTTAACTGCCATATGCTGTATCAATGTTTACACTGAGTAAATGCAAGGTGACTTCATGTTATCAATGAATAATATATGCAAAGCATAGTTTGTGTAAATGTTAGACTTAAGAACATTTTAGTCTAAGTTTTACATGCGCATTTCACCACACACAATGAGTCTAGGTCTTACTGTGTATCCAGAGGAAAAAAATTACAAACATCCCACCTAGATTATCTTGAATGACCCTGCTATCAACTCTAAGGGCCTGCTATCAACTTCTGACCAAATGTCTGTAGAAGGTGAAGCTGAGAAGGTCACAGGCTGTAGCTAACATTGGCAAGTATGGATTAAGAGGGAATGGAAAGCATCAATTGGTTGATGCAGAGTGAGTTAGATGAATGCTGCCTAAGAGTATCTATTCTAAATTCACCTCACCAGTTGAGTGGCCATGTGAATTGGGTGATTACATTATCTTTAGCACCTATTTACTCTTTTGAGGTTATCTATTTGCTCTTTTGAGAAGCAACCACCTGGATTCACTTTATAGAAATGATGATAGGTATCAAGTTCTCTTCGTATTCCTATGAGTCCTCTTTTCCAAGCACGATGTCCATCCTACTGAGTGGTTATTTGAAAAGCTCAGTGGGTAAAAGCTCTTTGAACTGTATTTTTCTTTTTAGCTGAATGAGAACATCTGAGAGTCCATCTCCCATTTTCTTTCATTGACACTAACTCAGTTTGACAGTCGGTACCCAAGAGAACTATATATCACAATGTGAACTAGAGTTGGCCAGACATTTAAATGCTCTTCCAGCCCTGAACTGACAAGGCCATTTTTAACTTTTATTTTGTTTGTAGACTGCTGTTCAAGGTAAGTTCCCATGGAAAGTGCCTGCCTTTGCTCCATATGGAGTTCGCTTCTATTTGTTAGACAGACAACCTAATTTCTTCTTCTTTATTGCATTGCAAAATACTTTAGGAGCACCAGAAGGTATCTTTGTCTACTTTTCTCTTCAGTAGTCATCTATTTGTACTCTCATGATAAACCAGGTGTCCATCACTTGAAAATCAAGTGATATTTAACAAATACATATAAATTGTGTGCATAAAAGTAGGTAGGATTTTATCTGTGAAGTATAATGCACGCTTAGGCCTTCAGACAGTCCTGTTTTAAATCAGTCTAAATTGAGGGATCTTTTCTACGATTTTTCTTGATACTTTGAAATTGCTCCAAAATTGAATTCATCGCTCTTGGGTACCATGATAATATGAAACCTAAAACTTTATGTGCTTTATGTGTGTGTTACTTCACTTAACTTGCTGGAAGAAATTACACTTAGAACTTGTAGTTTACATTCTGACTTTGCCCTTTGTAGTTTACATTCTGATCCCTAATTGCATCATGACATTCTATGTGTTCCCAATTTCAACATATAGCTATAACCTGATGAAACCATATTTGATCTCTGTTTTTTAGTGCCTAACATTTGGATGCTTGTTAAATGAGCTGATTTGCTAAAGCAATGGGGGCTTTGTTATAACCTCAGCTTTTAGTCTAAGCAGTTGTTTCTAAGCAAAGCCCTTAAGTTCATTCTTTAAAAAAACTTCTTTGTGTCTGAAGGTATAAGAAATTGTTTTAGGAGACATGGTTTGTGCTGCTGAAGAACTTGCCTTCTAGTAGGGAATAAAAGACATACAGAACACAACATAATCTGTGAAATTCTATGTTATCAGGAGGTAAAGAAAAAAGCGCTGGAGGGCCTAAGAGGAAGGAGAGCTTGTCATAGAAGTCTTCTAATCTAAGAGAATGTGATGTCCTTAAAAGACCGTTGAGAATCCGATATGCAGAAATAAGACTGAGGGAGGAAGTGGGCAGGGCATGACAAACATTCCAATAACTTAGCTTTTCTCTTAGAATAAAATTCAAGTTTCTTTCTTTAACATACAAAACTCACATCAGTTCATTTCCCTCTCTGGGTGACCTTCAGCATCTAATACCTGAGTTTCATTCTTGGAGATTCTGATTTACTTCATCCAAAGGTAATCTCCATGTGGATCCAGAGTTAGGAGTTACTGATGGGAGCAGTCTGGTCCCTGGCTCCCTGTAAGACCTCATTTCCTACCATGATCTCCCATGTTCACTTAGCTCCCCATCCCCACTCTCTCCACCTTGTTTTCTACTCCCCAATAGCATCACTCCTACTGAGGGTAACCTGCTGTTACTTGTACCTGGGCTAATATTTCTGAGATGATAACAACAGCAAACATTTACTGAGCACTCACAACGCCCTAGGCACTCTCTAGCATGTGCACTGTGAAGTGTATTAACTAATTTAAGCCTCCCAACAAACCTATGACTTATTCCAGTTTCACAGTTGAGGAACTGGAAGCACAAAACTGTGGGGAATGTGCATGGGCGTGGCAGTGCTAAGATTTGAAGTGAAATAGGCAGACCTCAGAACCCTGATGCTAGGGGAGCTTGGGTGGCTCAGCTGGTTAAGCGTCCGACTCTTGATATTGGCTCAGGTCATGATCTCATGGTCGGTGAGATTGAACCCTGTGTTGGGCTCTGCTGATGGTGTGGAGCCTGCTTGGGATTCTCTCTCCCTCCCTCTCTCTCTCTCTCTGCCCCTCCTCTGCTGTCTCTCTCTCTCTCTCAAAATAAATAAATAAACATTGGAATTTTTTTTTTTTTTTTTAAAGAACCTTGGGTGCCTGGGTGGCTCATTGGTTAAGCATCTGTCTTTGGCTCAGGTCATGATCTCATGGCTCATGAGTTTGAGCCCTGCATAGGGCTCTGTGCTGACATCTTAGAGCCTGGAGCCTGCTTCAGATTATCTGTCTCTGTCTCTGTCTCTCTCTATCTCTCTCTCTCTCGCACTTTCTCTCTCTTTCCCTCCTCTGTTCAAGCTCTGTCTCTCTCTCCCTCAAAAATAAGTAGACATTAAAAAAAAAAAAAAAAAAAAAGAACCCGGATGCTAAATACTGTCAAGACTCTTCATTTCTTTCCTTATCGTTATTTAAGACTATCCAAATGTCACCTTTCTCTGAGAAGCTTTGCTTGACCGTCCTATCTAAAATATCTCCCACCTCACTCTGATTACTCTCTAGTTTCTTACCTTGCAACTACAGTGTTTACTGACATACTACATGTCTTTCCTCTACTACAATGCAAACTTCACAAAGCTGAATATATCCGTTTGATTACCACTGTGTTTCTAGCACCAGAAAAACAGCACAAAGAAAGTTTTCAACAGCCATTTGTCAGAGGAAAGGATAAATTTCTGGTGTAAGAGGTATTCAAGGGGGATGAATTTTCTCCAGGCATTTTTCTTTTCTGGTATATTTCTGGCATAACGACTTTATGAGTTGAAATTCCAAAGACAGGGCTAAGACTAAGGACGGTGGGTTTTGATATACTCAACCCATATTTCAACATTCCTGGTACCTAACCTTAAGGTGGGCACTGCAGCAGAAAGGTTGTTGAGTCCACATCCATTGTCCCCTGTGTCCTTGAGGCTGAGCACTCATGTTCTGGTTTTCCTTCTCCAGGAGGCTTCTTTCAGGTGAGCCTGGTTGCATG